TAAAAAAAAAAAATAATAATAATAAAAAAAATAAATAAAAATAATACCGATCAAAAACTTTTAGCGTACACTGTGTGTACAATACAAATACAATCGAATGAGTCATTATTAGTACGGAAGACTCCACTTGTTATGCAATAATTTGAAACAGCCTAATTAGATCTGAAGAACAAAGTGAATCATATGAGCAATCTTTGCCGTAGAAGGAATACTGCAGATTTCTAATAGGTTATACAGTTACGAATTAAGTGCAAGCACAATTTGAGCTGCCATAAATCGTTTTAAAGAAACGAACCGAATATGGTATATAAAGAGATAGGTCGCAGTGCGGGGGCTGAAGATAATAACGGCTGATACTCTCACCTGATATTATACTATATAATATAATACATTGATTGTTTTCAGAAATAAGTCGATCAGGAAAGAAAGTAAGACTACAAGACCCAATTTCTGGTAAGAAGGTACAGGATATTAATAACGAAGTCCAGTAAGATCGATATTGCTACATAGTTTCTTCTTGTTGAGGAATGTTCCTTTAGCCAACTAGCCGCTTTATTAAAAGCTGCCTTCGTCCGAATCTCTTCGAAGTCAACATAACAATATAGTTCACAAACTATATTGTTTTTGCTCCATCAGAAAATATAGTCCCACTATAATGCTGTAAAGGTTGAGGAACTGATAAGGATTGTGACTGAATCAGCAGCCTCGGCATCGCCTATGAGACCAAAGCCTTTTTTCTCAGCGCTCACTTAAAAGAGAAACTGAGACGTGAGGAAAAGGTATTAAGAGAGAGATACTGGATAGTAGTGACGAAATGAGCAAATCAAAGCAACTAATAGACGGCTACAACGCCAAAAGATTAAGTAATATTATTTTATATAGCAAAAATTACTAAGGAATTCTAACCGGATTTCTTGTACCATGTTACGACCGAAAACGTATTTCAGAAAAAAAAGTATGTTCAATTAACAAAATGACGCAACGAAAAAACCCTGAGTCATTATAATAATTATTCTATTATACACCTCTCTATATCTCTATTGGCCTTATCTATTTGAATAAAAATAAGAAAAAACGTTAACTTCGGTTGCACCGAAGCTAAATACCCTTCACATGTGCATTTCTGTTAGTATCTATGTGTTCAGTTTGTATGGAAGCTATATGCTATAGTGAGCCGATCTGAACAATTTCTTCTGATATTACATTATTTCTACAAACAATAACTCATACCCAATTTCGTGAGGATATATCGTCAAATGTGAAAGTTTTCCATACAAAAACTTGATTCCGATCATTCAGTTTGTATGGCAGCTATATGCTATAGTAATCCGATCTAAACAATTTCTTCTGATATTACATTGTTGATTTAGAAAATAACCTGTGTGAACTTTTGTGAAAATACATTGTGAAATGTGAAAGTTTTCCATACAAGAACTTGATTCCGATCGTTTAGTTTGTATGGCAGCTATATGATATAGTGGTCCGATATCGGCAATTCCGACAAATGAGCAGCTTCTTGCAGAGAAAATGACGTTTGCAAAATTTCAAAAGGATATCTTAAAAACTGAGGGACTAGTCGTATATATACAGACAGACGAACATGGCTAAATCGACTCAGCTCGACATACTGATCATTTATACGGATATATGTATGTATATACTTTATAGGATCTTCGACCCTTCCTTCTGTGTGCTACAAACGTCGTGACAAACTTAATATACCCTGTTCAGGGTATAAAAATAATTAATTTATAACAACAACAAAGAATCTGCTGACTTAGTTTGCACTTAATGGCAATGTCGGTTTCACACACTGCGACGCGGTATAAAGTCGTATGTCAATGGCAATAGGCCACATATATGAAAATGCATAATACCAAGCATAAAACAGTGATTCATTAAATATAATAAAGTACCGAAAATGCTGATAATGTATAAATAATTGTATAGTTATCAAAACGTTTGTTGACATACGCAGATTCGTAAAAAATAATTTCAAAAAAGCACAAAGTTAAAATGTGGCGGCGCTCGAGTTTGCCTAATTTCAACACAAAATACATATGTATGTACTAAATATATGTATAAATAATCACGTAATTCCCCAGTTGAGGTTTCATCCATATGAGCGACCTGCGCCTACGCGCAGCTGTTCGCTTTTTATTAGCAATACTCATTAACTGGAATTTGCAAATAATTTCATTTTTATTGTTGTATGTGATTTTAACTGTTTTTATTGGCACTCTCGGCGTTTTGCCGCAAATATGTTCGACGAAAATTTCGTACAGAGTACAAGAAGTGTAAGAAAAGACTGCAAAAGAGGAAACGGTAATAGCGTTGAAAATTGTATGACTTTCAAAGTATGTTAGCGCTGAACGAATATGGGTGCTGAGGTAATTTATTAAAGTTTTGCCGCAACAGAAAAGGAAAAAACGCAGCAAATTGAAGATGTGAAACTAAAAGCAAATACAGACTCGAAAAAAGAAAACAAAAATGAAAACATGCAAATGAGTATACGAGAAAGTAGGTGATATGGGTCGAACGGTGCGAAGAAAGCAAAGTAAATGAAATCTATAAAACAAATATAGTAAAATTTTACACATAGTGCGACTTACGTAAGGTTTCAAGACCGGAATATATATTCCTGTAGGACCCAAAGTGCTAATCTAGTGGCTGATGCTCAGAGCATACTGAAATTGTGACGGAACAATTCTCCAGCCTGTGAAAGTGTAACATCCGGAGATGGCGAACCCGATTCCCTAATCGATGATGACGGAATATATGTTCCGTTGCCCCGACTATGATGAGGTTCGAATAGCAATTACCCGTCTGAAAAGCAACCAGTCGAGTTATTTAAATACAGCGGGGCGTATGAAAGCATGCCCGAAAATTGGAAGCTAAATGTGCTCTGGCCAATCCACAAAATAGGACAACTCCTAATCTGCGGCAATTACCATGGGATAAGCCTCCCATATAGCGCATATAAGATCTTATTGAGCGTAGTGTGTGAAAGATTGAAGCTCACCGCGTGATACCAAAACCCCGCAAAGCTAATACCGCTGTGTAAGGTGACGTTGAATAAAATAGTGCGACCTTTTCGATTGGCACTAATGCTATCAGAGGATTATATGCCTACACAATTATAAAATTGTTTGCACTATACCAATGACTCTTCTGGGTGTTTATCAGAAGGTCACTCATTCAAACAAAATCGAACATCTATCTGAAAATGTAAATCTAGAATTACGCTTAGTTGTAACAGAAAGTCCACTTCACAGTGAACAAAGGGACTTGTAATCTGGGTCATGTGATTGATCATCTACGATTATATTTGCCGTATGTAGAATGTAATAAGATTTAAGTTCAGCGAGCCACGAAGCGTACATACTGTTATTTTTTACATGTAACGCTGAACACAAAACGTTATTTTTAGGTGGTAAAAACCCATTCTTGCCGTTGTAAAGAAATAAAAGTTTATCGCACTTAAGAAATTGAAATTGCAAATTTTACGGAGAAGAAGCAGTCGGACAAAAACTGCGCTTTGTTGTCTGCGTCCCAGCTACGAACAAGAAAATCGCTAAGCCGATATGAAAACTCAAAATCAAGTTATGGCGAAGCATTGAAACAGCGACGACCAACAAAGAATGGACGGCTTGGCATGAGAAGGTGGAGTGATGGCGAGACAAAAACATAAAGAATTAGCAGACGAACAAACGATGTGAAATGCTGGAAAATTAGGGAAAGGGATAATATTGAGAGCCGAGTAAGTACGCATAAACAGCGCGCTTGATAAGGGCAATGTGCTGGAAGTCGCGCGGCTGCAGCTAACAAGTGATTGGTCGACAAACGTTTTCGAGGAGTGCTTAAGCTGCAGACATACAGACATAAAAACTGATTAACAATTGACTGAGTGGCATGGAAAAAAGTTCAAAGTTTACAAAAACAGCACATGAAGTTCAATGAAACAGAAAGAAAAATTGCAAGCACGCCGGAGGACGTGTCAGTCAGGCAGCATAGCCGAATCACACAGCAGCTCATAGTTGGAAATGTGCGGCACACGTTTCTTGCGGCGCGTGAGAGTTTAGTGTTTTTATTTTTACGCTGTTTACTGCGTTCAGCGATAGAGCAAAGCGCAAGTGATGACCGGGCTGAAGACATGATGATAGCGTGGTGGACCATTTGAATGCAGGTCCGAGTGGTTTCGTAGTTTTGATGATGCTTGTGTGGCTATTTTATGAAAAGTTTACATTTTGAGTCAATTGCTGCAATGACCTCCAGTGGACGCGCATAACTACATTTAATAATTGTGCCTGTCTATGTGGTTTTGTTGCCTTGAATTCATATTTTATATACATGCAATAATAAACAGATAAAGGCTTTCAACATATTTTATATGAGTATGATGAAGTATCTGATTACTTAGGAATTTGGTCTGCTACAATATTCAGAACGAAGTCGCGATAGTGTTACTCTAGCAAGTCAGGTTCTTGTTGCTTGGTTGGTAGTTTGTCTCTTAGGAAGTTATTCCTCGGGAGTACATCCATTGGGGACTTCAGAGCCTCGATACTTTCTGAAATTCATAATCGCTACTTCCATTGTGTTCTACTATGTTTAGTAGATAGTTTGTGATCGTCCGGCCGATTGTCTTGCAATTTGTCAATAATGCCGCTGACGCTGTTTTTGCCGCTTTGTACACGTCAGTTCTAACTTAATCGATATTTTGACTTCGGCGGAAATAAATTTATTATATATTTAAAAAAATGGTATTAGAAGAAATAACATAGCATAATTGTAATTTTTGATATTTTTAAATCTTGTGCATAAAAATATTTAGACGATTCACAAAATGTTTTTCTTTATCAATAAATAATAATAAAGCATTAAAAAGGAATTAAAACACATAAATCTTCTATTTTTAAGTCACTAATATCAGTGAAAGCCTTAGTGTCGTTTCTTGTCGGTTGCCGCTCATTATCGGCAAATTCTCGTTCGGTGTCGCTCATTGACAGCTTGAGTCGAGTATTTTTTTACATTGCCTATTACGTGGTCGAAATTATTTTTGAAAAGCTAATTTTTATGCTTATTCACCCTTTTCTCAAATGCTTTTATCATATTATTCATATTTACACATTATAAAAAGTATATATGATAAAATGAATATTTTAGAATATAATTATATTATATATATTGCAGATATTCACTTGAAACCGAGCGCAGCAAACTCTTGTGAAAACTTGCACTCGCCAACAAAAACTCGGCTTGGGCGACAAAAGAGTCAGAGTGTGAACCGGGACTTATACGCTAAGCTGACAACCTGGCATGTGCTTTTTAGTTTTCCTAATCCAATAATATTTTGGGTATGATTAGCAAATACATTTTTTAAAAACGGTATAATAAAATTATTAGAAATTTTAAACTTCTTAATAAAGTTCTAAACATACAAAATCTTACAAAATCCATAAGACTTTAAAGACAACAAACATAATAAAGTGTGAAAACCAGCAAACAAATGTAAGCACTATTATGTTGAAATTAGGTCAATTACAAATTTTCGTAGTACCTTACGAATTTGTTGGTGTAAAGTTTACTTTGGTGTGAATAGAATGCATTAACATACATACATATGCATATGTGTACGTATGTATGTACATACATATACCATTTCTTTTGATGGGCTTTGAAATTGTACTTACATACATATGAATGTATGTACGTACATACAAACAAACTATATACAACTTGTAATAAAGAACAATAGTGATTTACTATACAAAGGAATATTTTTCTTCTTCTTAAATATGCTCATTAAGTATTTGTTTATTTGCCAGAAAAAACATGATTTCGAACTGCATATGTATGTATGTGTAATATATAAATTATTAAATATGTAGATGTAGAACTGATTTCTTTAAAATACTTCAAACTCATTAACGAAAATTTCAATACAATCTTAGCATATAATATATTATCTACTGTGAAACACTCGACGCTTCTTTCCTTTTTTATTTGAAACGTGCCGCATTTAACCATCAATCATGGTTTTGTACGTGATTACTTAATAAAATTCTCATGGCTTCTTTGCATTTCCCACAGCTTTAGTCGGCAATATTAACCCACTTGCTGGGAGATATCTATGTATGCACCTTTGTTTACATACATATATACATAAATATATAAAGAAAAGGTTGGTGCAGCAGCAAACCTCACATTAGAGGAAACATGAAATACCAGTTTAACAATGAAAACAAATGCTCGCCAAAAGATCAGAAGTAATAAAATCCGAATAACAGCTCAATTTTTGCTGTGAAATCTTTTACACTAACATGTTAATTTGAGATGTAATAAAAAAATTTGCAAATGAAATCCCGGCCAAATAGGCAAGAAAATAACGCAGCAAATAAGTTGAATTATTATAATATATAAGTATATATTCATATATATAAAACCCTTCATTTATTAACAAAAAAACACGACTAAAATTTACCTAATTTCCGACAAGTATCGAACACGCAAATAGAAATCTGTGCCGTTTGGTGCACTTTGGTAAAATTAAAGGTAAGTTGAAGTATTGTAGACAAAAGGACTTCACTTTTTGCTTTTCAGCGTTTCTGTAGGTCTTCTTTCCTTTATTTATCTATAATATGCATTTTTTTGCAGTATAATGCCATCTGCCCTTTCCCGATAGCGCTGCTGAGAACTCTTGCGGCTTTCAAGCAGTTACACTAATATATATATATTTTCGATTTTTTATTAAAGACAGTTTTAGCTGCCTTGTTAAATTCTTGTATATTTCGAAATTTTCTTTTTAAATTAGAATTTATTTCCTTTTACTGCACAGCTTCCTTTTCCACATCAATGTCGCGTAACTTTTACATATTTTTTCATTCGTTTCACTTGATTATGCACTACACTTCACTTTTATTTTTAGACACTATGTCTTCCATTAATACTCTTTCGAACGTTTCTTTGTGGCAGCAATAAATTTTAATTCTTTTTATAACTATTAGAGATTTTTCTAATTTTATAGAACTGACCGCCGCAGATTAAATACTTCAAAACAACACAACAAATTCCAATCAACTGAAATTCTTTTTTGATGGAATTGAATACAAAAGTGCTGCCAACCCTTGTCAAGAATGTGGTGCAAAGATATAATTAAGAAATAAATGCATATATATATGCATTTGTCAAAAGGCCGGTATAATCTAAGTAAATATAGTGGTAATTAGAAGAACTTTCCAATCGCTTTTACATTTTATTTGTAGTATATTATAAAAATTGGCTCTTATAATATGAAAAATCAAATTGTTAATAACTTTAACACCAGTTTGCCGTGGAAACGAATAACACTGAACATACCGCTCAGTTTTGAAGCAAAATACTGCACTGAACACAACTGAACAGCTGTGCATAGGAAAAAGCAAGCGAGTTTATCCAAATGAATATCATGTGTTATTTAAATCAATAAAAGGAAGTCCACCGTTTTTGCAATGGAGTAAAGCGAGCTTAAATAATACAAAAATACTAATACTCGACAAATTAACTTGTATGTAAAGCAAAATTTCCGACGGGTACAAAATTTAGATAAAGAACGTTATTTCAAAAGTCTACTATAATATGCTTTACAAAAAAGGACAGTGAAAATTGTATGGTGGTATAAACAGTGGGGTTGCACTGAACACATAAATTCAAAGTGGTATAATAGATGAAATTAAAGAATAGGCAATATATGTATATGTCCAAACGAGCTAAATACACGTAACTTTTGGCTCTCCTTTTTTTTTAAAGAAAATTAAATATTTGAAAGACGTTAATATTAAAAAAATATTTCGTTCGCAAGCAATTAGAACAAGATTTCATTATGTTGCAACCCTGGGTATAGCATGCGACTTTAGTATATATGGCCAACTAAACATACCCAGCACAGCGGCCTTTTCATATGTTGAGCTGAATTCGTGCAAGAAAGTTCGTTAGCAAATAATATATTGCTTTGCCGTGCATATAAATTAAATAGTGCTAGTGAATTTACTAAATAACAGCTAGTTTCAAAACAATCAATAGACTGCTACAAAACTTTTTAGATAGTGGTGTTTGCATTTTCTTACTTGTATTAACAAGTTATGGAAATTGTTGAATCAACAACAGAGGGTAGCAAAAAACAAATGAACGAAACGTTAACAGCGGCGTCAATGGCAGACAGCAGCGGCAATAGTAGTTTGACTGGTAGTGCTGGTAGCAGCGCTGCTAATAGTTCTCTGGCTGTTACTACAACAGCGGAAACTAGAACAAAGGATAACAATACAACAACAAATTTAACAACTTCAACTGAAAGCAGTACTAGCAAGGATATTGATATGGATATAGAAGAGATACCATTAAAGTCCACAGCAACAACAGATTACACCAAAACCGATGAACAATGCCAACAACAGTCGGGAAAGTTGTTATCAACACATAAGGCGGGAATGCTTACACATTTGGATGTTGATATACCCATTATATCATTGTCTGATGGTGAAGATGCTCTGGGCTCACATCAACCAACTACCCTGCAAAAAGCTAGCCGTAAACGTAGTAGTGTTGGCGCTGCTACAGCAGAAGACGACCAGTCATTCCGCTTGAAACGGCGTAAAATTAAAGTGGCCGGAGCGCCAAAAATGCCCTTGACTGGTAAGTATGTGTGCTTGTATTTAAATATGTGTTCGTAAAGATAATGTAAGGGGCAAGCTCCCATGTGAAAAATATTTTTTATCGGCAGTATATGTTGCTCACTTTAACATGGGTGTTAATTATTATACATATATTCCGATTTCTGTTAACATATTCATGCATAACCAACTAGCATGTTGTCTAACAGTTTTTTTTTTTGTTTTTGCTAGGTTATGTACGTTACATGAATGATCGACGCGAGATGCTGCGAAAGGAACTGCCCTCCAAGACAGCGATTGAGCACACCAAAATTATCGGTGAAGAGTGGCAAAAGATGACGGAGGACAAAAAAGCGCCGTATATGAAAGCAGCTGAAATTGATAAGCAACGGTGAGTGGGTTAAGTAACTGTGTTTGCTATATTGGTGCGTTATGTATGAAAGCGAGCAGCAACTTTGGACTAGTTGACTTAAATACGGCCTTTTCATAATTCGAATGCTTTTATAATTTACTGTCCGCATATACACACGTATCATATTTACATATTCATATGAGTACATATAGTTTGTAAATCAATACATATGTACATATATCAATGATTATTCACATACAATGAAACCTTGTGCGCTCAGCTGTTGTTAAGGTGGTGCAAACTTATATTGCTCAGCAGCTTTGTATATCAAATATGCTAAGGGATTTTCGTGCTATATATCGTTTTTAGTAACGTACGAATGCTTCTATTCTCTTAAGCTCTAAAGCACACTTTTGAGTAGGTATTTGTATAAATTCTCTATATATCAAGCGAATTACCTCCATTTAAGTCAACGACATGTGCATATATTTGTTTAAGTATGCCATTTTTTTATACATACATATGTATTTCTGAATTAATGTTTGTAAGTTTGTAAAATTGCTATATACCAGATATGCCTCAAAATTACTGGTTAAGCGAGTTTAACTGTTTTAATTGGAAATTAGGGCAGTTACATTGCGCTGATTAGCTGTGATTTATAAAATTAAGTTGCTAAAAGAATTGTAATTGCTTATATGAGTGTCATTTACAGACATACAATATGCATTATTTATATATCTATATTTAAGTACCATTAAACAGTAATTGTGATTCATAAAAGTCATACCAGGTACCAGGTACCATCATACCCATACACACATAACATTCACTTCAGGCTAATACTTATGCAAATATGTAATGATTTGTGGATGTTTAAAATATTAATAAAAACGTCGTGCTAAAAAATTTTTAACAACTCTTGGTACTGTAGATACACTACAGCAACATAACCTTAATTTGTTTCTGGAAAAATAAATATTTATATTAACCCAATATTTTTTTTACAGTTACCTCGCCGAATTGCACACTTTCCTTAAAGAGCGTCCTGATGTGCTGGCCTGCGAGCTGGCCAAAGACAAGCAAATACGCAAAAGTCCCGGCGAGGCTGGCAAAACGGTCTTAAAGGAGAAATCACAGTCTGTAGGCAATATAAAATCGCCAAATAAGGAAGCTAATGCCAACACAGCCGCCGGTAAAGATAAATCACGCCGCAGTTCGGAAAAGGACAATTCACCGCCAGCACTGCCACCACCAGCGACAACATTGGATAATAAGCCACGACGTAAGCGCACACCGACACCACCCACAGCAGGCGATGCACACAATAGTCAAAGCAAAAACAGTACATCACACACTAACAACAACAACAATCACAATTCCACATCAAGTAGTAATCACAATAACAATTCAACCAGTACCACAACACCAATAAGCACTAATACAGCCAACTCACTAGCAGCCGCAACAGCCGTGCCCGGTGAAATACCAATATTCACCAATGAATTTCTGGAGCATAATAAAGTTTTCGATATGGAATTACGTACGCTACGCAAGTCGAAAGCAGATTTGGAACAGCAAAATGCTGTACTGGAGAAACATGTGGAGAATATGAAATTCGGTGTGGAAAAAATGACTAACGAGAATGACGAATTGGCGGAAAAGAATCGTTTACTCGAATTATATTTGGATAAATTAAAGGCAAAGTTAGCGCATGCGCTCTCTGGTTTGGCCATACCAACACAACCGAACGGTGCCACAATGGATAACATCGAGAAATATATGACTGATCTCTATAAGATGGCTACAACAAATACACACGGACCGGCGAGTCTCAATAAAGCGAAGGATATTATAAGAAAATTAGATTTACAGATTAATTTGTAACTTAGTTTAAGGTCTCAGTAAGCGGTGTTAGTTGTTGATATTTTTCTACTATGTAAGAGTTAGGTTAGGTCATTTAATTATCTTTAGTGTCATGAGTAACTAGCTATAAGACATTATTCTGTAGCCACGCTAATGGATAGAACATTTAATGTATGCATACCAATCTCTTTGAAACAAGTTCAATTTGAATATTTGGAGAAAGGATTTCATCTTCTATTTCCGGTGTTGTAACCTGGACAAATCAAGATAGAAACATATATATTTTTTGTTTCTTCTTTCATTTATCACTTTTTTTGTTTGTTTTAATTTTATAATATTTTACACTAAATATTCTTCTTTTGCAAAGTAAGCTATGCTGAAATAATATTTAAGGCCATATATCCAATAAAAGAAATTAGTTATTAAATATTGTAGCGGAAAACCATAAAAATCTGTCGATAATACATATCTTTAGCTAATTGAAGCTTCAAGTTGTTACTAAAAAAAAAAATGCATACATGGTGTCGCAAAATATCATTATCAGATTTTAGCATAAAATAAAATAATTACCACGCTACATTCATTGTTGCACTACAACAAACACAAATAGTTTTGGAAAATAATTAAAAATTTGCCAATAATACTTTTGCTGCCGAGTGTAATGAAAAATAATTTTAAAATATGTATGTACTGTAATTAAAAAAAAATAATATTTTTTCGTACAACCTCAAGTGCTATGTTCCTTCCAATCAATTACATACTAGTATTTATAGCTTCCTTGTTAGTAACATAATTTTAAAACTCGTATTTTTTAATTATAACATAAACAAACAGTTTGGCTGGGTTGTGACTTCAACTACAACTAATGAATTGTTTTTTATTTACTTTTTTTGCTAAGTTTTAAACGCTTAAATTGTTGCAAAGTGTTACAAGAAAGTTGTAAATATACATATGTACATAAATATCATAACAGTAATTTTTTTCCTTACAGCCAAATCAAGTCAAATTGTTAATAAAAATTTACTTCTCTTATTATGTGTAAGAGCTATCGTAGTTATCGATTTCTTCCGCTCATGATTCATTTATCGATTTAAGTTTTGTCAAAAACGCATAATTTAAAATACATATTATGTAGATTTTGTTGTCATATTTTTTTTGTTTGTTTAAATTCGAACTAGGGTTTCTTGAAAAATATAAAATAACAAGAAAACACTTTAAATTCGGGGCGAAGCTATAATAGCCTCCACAAATAAAAAGTCTCCATACAAGAATTTGATGGTGATCTGATCGGAACAATTTCTTTAGTGATTGTACCGTTGCCTAGGATATTGCCTAGGACATTGCCAAATTTAGTAAATTTTTAGCTTTTCAAATGAAAAAGTTTTCATACAAGAACTTAATTTCGATCGTTCAGTTTTTAAGGCAGCTACATACGTACATACATATATGCTATAGTGGTCTAACTTGAACAATTGGTTTGAAGATCCATACCATATCTTTACCGTTCCCACAACTGTCGTGTCTAAGTAAACGGAACGGACCCAGATATCCGCCCCAAGACTGTCAACTCGGTACCATGCCTAGATGTTATTACAGGAATATTTTCTACCGCTACAACAACAATAACAATAACCCATCCAAGGGGGGATGAACGTTGAAACATAACTAATTACGGATTGAAGTGATTGCTTCCAATAACTGGCCTTGATTCTTTTTATTTTGGCTGTGTTCTATCTTTTCCATATAAGCCGATATTAGCTCTGTGAGTAAATGGTATCTGCCTAAAAAGTGTTCATCTGCAAATACTAGAAACACGCATTCAATTAAGAGAACGTAAAACCAAGAAAAAAAAAAGCAGTATGCTGACTGAAAAATATGAGGCATTATTGAGCAATCGCAAAAACAAAAGTAATGGAACATTTACTCCAGGCTATACGTGAAATTCAGTGCATAGCAAGTTAGCCAGTTTGTCACCCTAACGTTGCACAGCGTCCGTCTAGTCATCGCACGTGCGACATCATTATTAACTTCAGGCATCACAACGCAACTTCCACCCCTGGCAAAGCATTTTTAAGCGTATGGGTGCAGAGATTGAACACTGATGATGAGTGCTAGCAATGCAAACTACACAAAGTGTTGTTCTTTTGCATTTACCTACATACATACATGTATGTATGTCCTACATCCCTCATTTTAATTTCACTTTCTTTTGGCGCCTCCCCTACATCATTAATTTCTTGGTTAGCAAATCTGCGATTATGTCAGAGGTGTTGCTGCTACTAATCTGTGACATTCTGACGCGCCACTGGGTGAGTCAAGCGCAAACTATGCTTCTCTAACCTCTACCGTAATACGAAAATGCATTTGTTGTATGTCCTAACTATACTCTCAGTACGTTTAGTTGTCCAACTTTTTCCACGATCAATTTACTGCACTATGCGGCGCCGTTTTGTGAGGGTGACATTACTGCATTAATGCAATTATTTTATTTTATAGCAGCTAATAATTATAATTGGAGCATAAATATTTTTGTGTGGTTGGTATTACAGCTAATATAGTTTTTCGGTTAAATATTTTGTGTTCGTAAAGCTGAATTAACTCAAAATATTTGTTATGTGTACATTTATATGTATTTATTTTAAATTATGTGCTATTGCATCATGTATGTACGCCGGATGATGACTTTACAACGCCTGCATACTTGCATTGAAAGATATTTAAATCCGGGCAAAAGTTTTTAACGATATTACTATTGACTTACAATTATAATTATACATATGTATGTATATGTGTTGGTCAAAGCACTGTCTAATATTCCACAAAAAGTGTTTCTTTTTCAAAAAAATTCGCATATCACCGTTTAAACTTCTCAATAAATTGCGGATGTACTTAATATTTCGATAAATCGATAACAGCTTTAACAAGCCATTCTGGCTTTCCTTTTTCTAGTTTTGATTAATTTCTTTGTACGTTATATGTAGTTGTATAAATAAATATGTAAATGAATGCATAAGTTAATATATGTATGTACATACATATAAATTAAATATTAATTTACTTCTGCTTATTTTTCCTTTTCAACGTTCTAAAGCTTTCTTACAAAAGCTGCTTCTACTATAAATTAATGTAATCCACTAACTTAAATTCAAACACTTCACATCCGGCGCCGTCCCAACATAACTTTACGCACAAGTGTGTTGTAAGTCCCGGCTAAGCATTTCACCATACTATCAAAAGCTCCAATGTGGTGAATAAAAGCATTGCGTGTACATTATAATATACACACAAGCGGGCGCTTTAAATATTTAACTGTTTCCACCCACGTATGTTAAAAACTACAGTCTTTTAGCATCCAACTTGCTTTATGCTACTCTTCGCGCGCAAATTCACCGGTTACCGGTCGTATCAACGCTCCCACTTCACCAGCCACCCAACAGCCAATTAACATTCATACAATCCACCACCACCGTCTGCTGAGCACGTGTGTCTGTATGCTTGTGTGCTCATTTGGTTTGTATTTCGTGGTAACTTCAGCAACGCAACGGTTACCATTTACTTTGCCAATGCTGAGAGTTTCAGTGACGAGTTGATGTTGGAGAGTAACGTGTGTGAAAATAAAATTAGTGCGTCGGATGTGTGAAACGGTCTATACACGCGTGTGTTGTTCACTACAAAAGTGTTTCTTTTAGTATTTTGCGGATTCTATAAGTGTACGGAAGTTGAAAATTGATTGTGCGAGCGCGGATGCGGATATGTGTGGAAAGTTCTAGCTGGGGATATGAAGTGAAGCTGCTGTGAAAATATCGTTGCGTTGCGTGTACTAATCGTTGTTACATACGTGCGGTCGGTTGTCGTTTCATTCGCGTTTCCTCGCAGTGGCTTTCTTGTTGAATTAAATTTGCATAATTTAAAGAAATTTGTGTCCAAGAAATTGTAATTTGTTGCTCCGCATCGTATTGAGCTTATTGGTAAGCTTTAGTTATAGTAAAATGCAAGCAAATTGTGTGTATGTATATATGTAAAGTAGAAAAGAAAAATTATACTTAAAATAGTTGAAAAGTACCGAGTTGATATAATGGCAGCGCAGCGGCAGCTCATTATGCCTTCTGCAAATTTAAGAAAGAGTGAGGAAGTGACGAATCAAAATTTGCAGCATCTAGTGTAGTTTATCGCGCAATAATAGCAAATGTGCACAAAATATTGCAAAGTGTATATATTTCTTAGGAATATTATATTTCATAGTTATACATGTAAATGTGTGTATATATTTATTTGTGTTAAAATTCACCAGCTAATAACAACAATATCAATGGATTTCGGTAAAATGCGTACAGCCTTGCAATGACAGTGCTAGCTAATACAATAACAGCAACAAATGCGCGAGTGCTTTGTCTACATATGTATGTGCGTGTGTAAATACTAGACCGACGAATTGGCACTATGCACACAGGTGAAATGTGCGTATGTACAAATGTTTGTCAAAACTATTTGCTTATTAGATTCTGTTGTCTCGTTCAAAGCCATCACTCAAACGAGCGAAAGCAATGTGTATTTTTGTATGTATGTAGGTGCGTTAGTCCCTTTGGAGTTGACATTTATTTACTTGCGTATATATGCATGTATGCGTGTATGTAAATATATATTCATATGGGAGTTGTTGGCATGTTAGCTTAATGTTTTTTTCTTCTCAAGAAGTTGTTGCTTGGTATTTGAAGGCGAGAAACGAAGTGAGTTGAGAATTTAGTCGCATTATTTGTAAATGAATGTTTGTTGCAAAAGAAGCTGTGTGAATTAGCTTTATAAAGCATATGTGTAAACATAAATACAATTTTTAACTGCACGCAATAAAATGTTTGTTTGTTAATTGGAACTACGAAAATATGTTTTGTGTAAAATAAAATACATACATACACGCGTTTATAATTGCAGATTTGTGTAAGTTTGTGTGATGAGTGTTGCAGCAGACAAGTGCCTACGCTGTTAACACACAGAGCGGCAAGTTCACATGCGGGTGCTGATAAAGTGCGTTGACAATATATGGTATAGCAGACTGTATATATGTACATATGTATTTCAGCAGAAAAAATACGAAAGTGCATACATATGTACATATGTATGTATGAATGCATAGACAATAATAAGAACAATATGTTCATATAAAACCATTATACAGATTCATATATAATATGTACATATGTATATACATAGATGTATGTATGTATATACATAGATGTATGTACATGCATATTTACATTTACATATGTATGTGTGTATGTACGTGTGTATACACAATAAAATCAATAACAATTGGTGATAGTTATCGCGAAAATATAATAAAAACAATACAAAATCTATAAAGAAAATAAATAAATTGGAAATGGATGCACATATGCATGTGTAGATTTGCTTACCATGTGTATTCACTTTGTGTATGTTTACTTGTGCGAATTTTGCAGACTGATACACAGCTGCTGGCATACTGATAATAAAGTGCAAAAAGTTCTATCTGTTGGATTAAGAACAGTGAGACTGTCAGGTACTACTGCTTTGAATCTGTACATATGTACATACATATGTATGTATGTATTTACATAAATAAGTAAATGCGGTACGAATAAAAAAGCTAGTTTATTTTGTGGGTGTAGGGATTAGCAGAATGCTGTCTTTATTTGTCAAACTAAAGGCATTAGCGAATAGACGAAATCCTAAACAAAGAAGTGCTTGGAGCTGTAAAAAACAAAAGTGCAAAATATTTTGTGGCTATTGCTAAAAATTAATGTGTTAACATATTTTGAAAATAAACAAATGTTATTGTTCATGCAATATCAAAACAATTAAAGAAAATTTATAAAAAAAAAGGCGGACGAAAGGCGTGTCGAAAAATTAAACAAAATTATGCAAACATTTATACATATTACAATTACTACAGATTATCAGCATGAAATTTAATTTAAAAAAAATAAAAGT